GAAGAAAAAGAAATTTTAAAATAAATATAATAAAAACAAAAGAAAAGAAAATTGTGAAAATTAAATAAAGAATATATAAATATTATTTAATTAAAATTGACAAAAAAATTAAGTTTTATCATAAAGAGAAAAGAGTTAAAAAGAATTTTAAATCGAAAAAAAAATTATTTACAATATGAAGAAAACAAATTAAATAAAAAATAAAAATAATAAATGGAGAGTTTCTCTCCGTCCATCACACTCTCAATGTGATTCTCTCCATCACACAGAATCTCCTCTCCATCACACGGAGAAATTCTCTCCGTTCCTCATTTATTTTTCCTTTTTTTAATTTATTTTATTTATATTATAAATATTTTTTTATTCTTCTCTTTATGATAATACTTACTTTTTTTCAATTTCAATTAAATATTATTTATATATTCTTTATTTAATTTTCATAACTTTCTTTTTTATTTTATTATTATTTTTTGAAAATTGTTTTATATTTTTTTCCTTCATAGTATAAATAATTTTTTTCTATTTAAAATTCTTTTTAATTCTTTTCGTTTTATAATATAAATTATGCTTTTTTAGTTCAAGTTTTATCAATGTTTATATGAACCTCTATTTACCTTGTCCAGTGTACTTCTACTGAAATTTTTATCTATAAAATTTTACTTTTAACGATAGAAGAAAGTATCGATATTCCCAACTCTAAAACTTATCAAATAACAACAAAGACAAATCTCGACTAATTATCATTATATTTTTTCTACGCTGTTATATACTCAATTACAGCATTTCACGTGCATCTTATGTATCATGCCTCTGTATAAAAGAGAGGATGAGGGGAGTATTGTTCATTTGAGGTACGCGTTCACACATTCGATTTTCAATGAATTCTCCTTTTTTGTGTGTAATAAATACAGATGGATATATATATATATATATATATATATCATTGGGAAGGCAAACACAAGTAAATGCTTCAGCTTTTTCATATTGATTTTATTGGCTTTAGTAATAATTCTCATCTTACCCTTAATTTGTACAATTAAGAAAATATGTCAACCTATAAATTTGAGGGTAATTGTGATAAATTGATTATTAGAACGAAGACATAATGGTCTTTCCAATTTCCAATTAAATCAAGTTTTCATCCCACACTTAATTGCTTTCAATTTTTCAACATTTGCTTTCCAATTTTATACATGTAGGTCCCACTATGTGTTGGGAAGTGAGATGCTTTAGCATATTATTGTCGATGGTAATATGATGTAAAAATTAGTGTACTTTGTTTTTCCATTTTCTTCTGCATTCTTCATCTTTATTGCTCGAAAACAGATCAAAAGCTTTATATTCCTCGTCCTGCTCATTACCTTTTACATTCTTCAGCTTCAATTCTATTGGAGTTCTGTGATCTACAGTATGTTCTTCTTTTATTCTTCTCATTTTTTTTTCCCACTAAACGTGTATTTAAATTTTAATTTTTTTTCTTCACATTTACAGGAATTCAAGTGTATTGACATCAGGAATGTTGGTTCGTTTGATGTTATTTGCTATGGGGAAGTAATTAGTTTTTGTTGCACAATTTTCATAATTTGAGAATTTAATTTTATGTATATTCAAACTAACCTTTTATTTATTTATTTATTATTTTGTGTTCACTTCTATAGTGTTTAACTATATTTTATCTCTGGTGGAATTCACAGCTGTAACAGTGTATTCTTTGTTGGATAAGTTCTTTAAGTCAATTTTGTTTTTTCAGTTCGTTGTTCATCTATTTTTTTTTTTACAAATTCAATTATTCTTTCCCTTATTTAAGTATATGTACTGAAGTGTTTTCATAGTGTTTATTTTCAATTTTTTCTGTAGTTTCTTAGGTTTTTTTGGTTACTTATTTAGAACAAGTTTTTCCTTATTGGTTGTTGAGTTTTCTTTGTGTAGTATATGAACAATTTATTTTATTTTTCTTTGTATAACAATAAATATTGTTATAAATATTATTCCTAAAAATAATTACTCATGAGTAAAAAGTTGGCTTAGAAGCCAAAGTACAACTCATAAATAAAAATTTACTTAGAAAAAGCTCACTTGTATGCAAAAATATTTAGAGAAAAAATTATTTGTAAGTAAAAAAATTAAACAAAGGTATGAAAATCACTTATATGTAGAAGTATGCACTTGTTAGTTAAAATATTCAGTAAAAATAAATAAATACTTATTAGTAAAATATATAAGTAAGGAATCACTTATAAGGAGCAAAAAATGAATAAATTCACATATAAGTAAGAAAAAGTACATAAATATAAAATTTTATCTTTTATCTTTTTTTTTTCATTTTTTTTTATACTTGCACTTCTTTCCAATATGATGAAGCATCATATTATGTCATATTATAACAATACACCATAACTTATTTTAATCCAATGTCGTCAATTTCTATCTTCCTCTCTCATATCCGTCTTAATGTAATATGGTGCATTATTTAAGTGTCTATATATTTGTTGTTTTTCCCAAATAATGTGTAAATTAGTTTATTATTTTTTACAGTTTATATATCATTGACATCATTCGTACAAATTTGAAGAAAATAAATATTTTTGAATAAATAAATTAGGGTAAAACAACTTTACAAATCCGTGAATCATACAATTATTGACCCCCACCATTCACTTTTTTGACAGTAAAACAAAAGTCTATCATTCGTAGATTATCTTGTATTAACATTCGTGTATTTTTAACAGGGATAAAGATGCTTGTACATAATTTTTGGTACATAGAGGTGTCCCCCTCTCACATGAGATAGAGCCCACTTTCCTTAAAAGTCGAGGCCTTAATGAAACTCCATAAGCACCAACAACCTGATGAAACTATAGCAAAAGGTCCTAACTTTGACATCAATGAATGTAATAAATTCTTCGGCCCAATTGGTAGTACAAGCCTATTACTTGTTCATGTTCAAGTTAAAATGGTGGTTGGCACGTGAGTGTTTTATCTTTTGTGTACAAAGAGATTTCATTTTGATGAAGAGCTATTAGCAATTGATTGTAGTCTAATATACCGATTATGTGTAATTGACAAGTTCGATTTTCTCCTTTTTCATCTTTTACACCTTTGGCTTCTGCTCCGACTCTGAATTCTTCTGGAACGGATTCTTGACCCACAATCGAGCATTCAAAAGGGGGGTTCGATCCAGTATCGTTGGAGAGAGGGCCAAAGCTCTCAAAGAAATTAATAGCTCCTCATACCAAATGGGTAATTATTGTTTTCCAGAGCAAGCTTTCTTCATCTTGATCAAACACAGATGAATTGTTTATATTATGAAGAAATTAGTTTGTGTTGGTTATTTGGAATAGCTAAAAGTAAGTTTTATGTATGTTTTTGAAGGTCTTTGAGGTGATTAGAAAACATGAGTAGATACGGGTAGCAAAATTTGGTAGCGGAGAAGGCTAATTTCGAGGCCATTGAAGCTAATGGTGATATCGTTAGTGTTTAGTTTGGCAAATTAAGTAAACCATTTATAAATGTTGTTAATTTTGGTTAGTTTCTATTTGTTGTTAGCAATGCTTTGGTTTTTGAAGTAATTGTAAATTTAGGGTTGTTTTGTCCTTTGACCAATACTGGAGTCTTCAATTTTTAATTCATTTTTAGGTTCTTTTAAAATGCAGGAATTTTGAAACATTGTGTCCTAAGACTTCTACACTTGGACATTTCTTTTTAACAATTTGCATCAATTTTATCTAAGAGTCAATCTTGAACCGAGAAGAAAGTTTAGAAAATGCAGTTGACAAAGCTTAATTTCCATCCATGTGTGAAAGTAATTTTGTTTGGTAAGAGCTTCAGCTATTCTCATGTGATGTAGAAGATAAGATATGTAGTTTTGCTAGAGATCTTTCTCTTTCTTAGTTCATTGTAAAGGTTTTTATGTTAGAATTACTCTTTTTTTCCCCTTTTCCTTTTTCAAAAGTTCAAAAGAGAAAGTACTTCACGATAATCACATTTAACACACTAACATTGCCTTCAATATAACCAAGCTCATGCATTGTATGGGCAAATACTAGTGGTAATATAAAGGCTACTTGTTCTTTGTCCTATTAAAAATCATAGTAAATGTTACAGTACGACAAAGTAGTTTATTTAAAGAGTCAGACGCACATTTGATATATATTTAACTATTTTTGATATTCATTTCAACCATTCGATATGTCTATAATGTGGTTTTCGGAGTGTGTTTCAAGATAACATGGGCGATTCATGAATTTGACTAGCGTATGATCGTCGAAGAATTTTTAAAGTTAGCATGTTATAGAAATTATCGAAATACTAATTTGAAATGGGCTACTTTGACACCCCTAACATTTGCCCGTATCATGCACTATTAATGAAGTGAAAAATTAGGCCGTGAGCACTTCAAAATGCTATAAAGTATGTGATATTTTGACTTCATTTTGACATCCCATAATGACCCCAAAAATTGAGACAAAAACATAGAAATTTTAATTGTGGTCAAATCGGGGCTTAATTTATACACATTTTTATAGCGTGTCAAAGTAGAAAAATAGGAATTGATTTTAGTCCAAAAAGTTTGGGAATCTGAATGTCATTTTTATGTAATTTAAATTACACCCATGTTCCATTTCAAAATCCTAAACACTAGCTAATCTTAAAATCAATGATCAAACATTTCGATTATCCTATAGCATAGATAATCAAGCCTTCCGAAGATGTTCACAATACTAATTTTTGATTTATATAAAAGAATTAAGTTGAAAGTTGGAGGATCACGTAACCTATCAGAACCTACTATGGGTCGGCCAATGTTTTGGTACTTTGTGATAGAAAGCAAACCCCATCAAGTAACACATGGCTGCAAATAAGGTGCATTTTACCATAATTTAAATAAATAAGTTGTTCTGTCAAATGCTCATCAACAACTCGGCCAAGCCATTGTAGCGCACCAACAAAGTCACACAGATCAAATTCCATAATTACAACAGATGGGCAAAGGATAAAAATACTTGGAACAGGAAAGCTATTAGTCTTAAAATGGGTAAAAACTACTCATACTAATTAATGAAAATCATGAAACATTCATTTACAAACAATCAAAAGTTGAAGAAAGAAGCAAGATTTTAGTAATTATAGAATTGAACAAGGTGCATAATAGGTTTCGTAGCGAACAGCAACAAGTTTGCATTGCTTACAACATGCTGGTAGTGTACAAACTGGTTTTTCTTTTTCTTTTTCTTTAGGAGGATCAGGTTTCTTTGGTGGCCCGACACTTATAATTGCAGCACATTTTCCAGTCTTTCTGATGGATTTGACGATACACACAGGATCAACACTCCCCACAACAGTTAATATGCCCTTCTCAACATCCACCGTTACCGAATCAACACCTGCTCAATCATAAGAAAAATCCCAGTATCAGAACTTGTGGCTCGTTCGGTAAGGTCGACTGTATAGTGCTCATACTAAACGTGCATTTGATGTATGTGTTACATCATACGTGTTTGTCCAAGTAACTAGCTATTTGGACGTGTTATGTCACAACTCGTCAAGTGATCGACCGAATTTAGCACATTTTTTGTTTTGATTCTAAGATCCTGATTGATTGACTTCAATAATAAGTTCTCTTACAAGTTAAGCCCTATTTCCAAAACGTTGTAAATTTTTACTATTAAGAAGAAAAAGATCTCACACCTCATATCAGCACGAACAAAAATATACACATAATGTCTAGTGGTATCTCGATCCACAGTGGACAAGATTCCAACAAGATAAAGACGTACCTGTAAGTTTGGCAACAGCTTTCAGAACTTCAGTCTTGCATTTCCTGCAGCTAATGGTGACCTTGAGCTCAGTTTTCTGTCACAAATTGGCAAAGAAAGATGACAAAAGACTAAGAAACAAAAAAGTTAAGATTAATTCGTGGGTTGTTATACATCATCATACCTTAGTACTCATAGTCGAAAACGAAATGAATAATTAACTGACAGCACCCAATACGAGAATAGAGTGTATATGTAAAGGAACCCTACTAGGAGGAGAAAAGTCTTTAGTCTTCAAAATATACAAATTGCAAATATAATACAGTACGTTACTTTCATTGACGTGGAAAAAAATTGGTCATAGGGCAAGTAAACTGTCTTTGTCTCAGTGGGCGGTGATTATTCTATATAAGTTTTGTTTGTTAGTTTGTCCAGAAAATGCTGGCTGCTAGTTTTTCTTTCCCAAAAGACCAAATCCCTTTTTTTTTTTTTTTTTTTGCTTATCGCTTCGTGTAAAAGCTGTGTAAGTTAGATTTATTTTTCATGATCGACATACACATATGGAGACTTTTGCTATTCTTATAATAAGTTGAATCAACTCGTTTAAAAATTAAACTAATAGAATGTAGATAAATATTTATATGCTTATCTTTGACCTATCAATATAATTGGTAGTTATGCAAAGCACCTTACCAACTAGTCATAATTGTGAAATAAACAAGGCAAAAATGCATTATATTGATGGGAGAATATTAGGTTCACATATATGAGTTGTATATGAATAAGAAAATGGATTTAAGACTAACTAATTGCAATTTACAATCGGTGTGAAGGTTAGGTCTGTACATTAGTGGGCTAATAGATTAATGAAATTGGACCATGTTAATTGGATGTACCTTTTTTTCTTTAAAGTCTTCTTTAAAGTCTAACTCTTAGACAATAGTGATGAAGAGGGTCTAGTATACGCTTGCAATTTTGGACTGAGGGTAGTTTAAAAGGACTAAGCTACTTGTACCCGGGCATTTACATGCCCGGTTACACGCCCCTCACATGGGGGGCATGTAAATGCCGGGTACAAATGACAAAAAGGGGTCTACAAAGTCAATTCTTGCACAACCCAACTCGCCAAATATTTTGGCTCCTGTTTGGCTATCATATTTCTAAAACTCATTTTTCTTCATACTCTTTTTTAACTACATATTTTATAGATTCACAAATTTTATCAACTATTTAATTACATATTTGATCAACTTTTTCTTTAAATATACTAAAAAACTGGTTTTTTCAAAACAAAATCAAACATGAGCTTAATGAAACCAAGTGCTGAGTTGGTCAACGTCAAATTTGGGTCGTTCTCTTCTCCTTTACACCTCTAAATATGAGTATCATTAGATAAATGTGGACCATGTGGTACATAATTAAGATTGCTTGGTCCTCTTGCACATCTCATTTTGTTTAGCATAAAGTATAGACGAGATGGGATTGCAAGATTTAATTTCGACTCTTGCCTTTTAGCTAAATCCAGTGATGACAGCTGTAAGGCCTCTCCCAAATGATGATAAAAAAGGGTCACATGGCAGACACTCAAAGAGCGAACACAGGCCGCACTCTACATCATCCTACTCTCGTTAAAATTCCGTCTAAATCCATGAAGAGGTCGAACCTTTGTGAAGGGATCCAACCCTTATGACGAGGTTGAACTCTCATAAACGAGATGAGGTGGGGTGAAATATCAAATCTAGTCCTTGCAACCTAGGCCGTAGGGCTGCAAATGGTCATAACATTAACTAATTAAAGAATTGCTATTGAGAAGACAATGGGAGAATATTAGGTTCACATATTTGAGTTTTATATGAATAAGAAAATGGATTTAAGACTAACTAATTGCAATTTACATTCGGTGTGAAGGTTATGTCTGTAGATTAGTGGGCTAATTGAATTAGATTATTGAAATTGGACCATGTTAATTGGAGGTACCTGTTTTTTCTTTAAAGTCAAACTCTTAGACAATAGCGATGAAGAAGGTCTAGTGCAAGCCTGCAATTTTGGATCGAGGGTAGTCTAAAAGGACCGAGCCACTTGTACCCGAGCATTTACACAGCCCTCACATGGGGGCGTGTAAATGCCCGGGTACAAATGACAAAAAGGGGCCTACAAAGTCAAATCTTGCACAAACCGACTCGCCGAATATTTTGGCTCCTGTTAGGCTATCATATTTTTAAAACTCATTTTTAACTACATATTTTATAGATTCACAAATTTTATCAACTATTTAATCACATATTTTGTCAATATTTTCTTTAAATCTACTAAAAATTTGATTTTTTCAAAACAAATTCAAACATGAGATTAATGAAACCAAGTGCTGAGTTGGTCAACATCAAATTTGGGTCGCTCTCTTCTCCTTTACACTTCTAAATATGAGTCTCATTAGATAAGTGTGCACCATGTGGTACATAATTAAGATTGCTTGGTCCTCGTGCACATCTCATTTTGTTTAGCATAAAGTCTAAACGCGATGGGATTGCAAGATTTTAATTTCGACCCTTGCCCTTTAGCTAATTTTAGTGATGATAGCTGTAACGCCTCTCCCAAATGAGGCTCAAAAATCGTCACATGGCAGCCACTCAAAGAGCAAACACAAGCCCGCACTCTACCTCATCCTACTCTCGTTAAAATTCCGTTGAAACCCATGAAGATGTCGAACCTTTTTGAAGGGCTCAAACCCTTATGACGAGGTTGAACTCTCATAGATAAGGCGAGGACATGGGGAGGTGGGGGCGAAATATCAAATCTAGTCCGTGCGACCTAGGCCGTAGGGCTGCAAATGGTCATAACATTAAATGCACTTGAACCTAGGATTGACGAAATTACGCTTATGACAAGGTGCCTCGACCGTTAGAATGAGGTCATGTATTTCTTCATCCAATGATTATTATTTCTGATCTTTTACTTTTAAAGTTCATACTTAGTCTTGTTTTAAGGAAATGAAATTTTGTACACTCAACTATAAGATTACTCCCTCATTGTTCTCTCTATAACCCCCGGTGCTCGAACGCCTAAGTGGCTCACATCTCAAGCATATCCCACACCCAATACATTATTATCGTTGACTAACTTGACTATCGTAGTGCTCGTGGCCGCCTCTCCCATTATTGGAGAATGCCACATGCAACAAACGGTTTGTCCAAGTGCCCAAGAGCAAGGCAATGTGAACGTGAGTGGAGTCAAGATTTGTCAACCAAATCATCCATACAAAAAGCAAGGTCAACAATAGTTGTCCACTTGGATAGGTTTATGATACAACTTAACTAATATCCCAGTTTGTCTCTATGTGCTTATATTCTTGTATTTCATAGTGTAATATAAAATAAATTAAAGTCTAGATATCAAATAATTGTACTACATTTACTTTAATAATTCTTCTTCACTTACTCAATTATTCGTTTGCCAAATGTAAAAAATTTAATTGAATTTTTATTAATTAAAATTTTCAATTAAATTTTGTCCAACAGACAAAACCAAACTTGAATATCTTATGGTCTATATATTCTGTTATGATCTCCAATCAGATTCATATCTAATTTAGTTATTAAAACGTTTGTCATATATGAGGAAAATTTTATCAACTATTTCCTTGTGAACTTAGCCGTCTCACTTATGCTTCTCATCCAGAAACGATGCTTGTTATATCTCTAGCTATGTAAAAAAATTGATGGATGGAATGGCTCTGTAGAAACAGCTCGGATTTGACCTATCATCAACTAATGGTGCAAGTATAAATAATCTAAAAATGATCAAACATCCTTCGATTAATACAAAATTTAAGCTGAGCCCTAATCTTTGTGGCCAAAAGTATTGATTTTGCACTGTGGAACTTCTTGGTGAGTAATAATTCAACAAATGGTATAAGAACCACGAATTTAGTGCTCTTGGCTTCAGGGGGAGCCCAATAGAGTTGAGTGCAAGCATATGCTTGCATTGAACTTTGGGTTCAACCCAATCCCTTTTATTTTTTATTTTATTTTATTTTATTTTTGTGGAAATTACACCCCCACACTACTTTTGAAGATCTCAATTCTTAAATCGGGTGAGTTGTCTCATCTTTCAAAAATCAGAAATATTTCCTTTCTCTCCAATCTAATTCTCTTTACTTCTACACGTTTTCTCTCTCTCCCACACAAATTTATTCTCTTTCCAATCTCCTTCTCTCTCCATTATTTCTCCTGCCATTTTCTCTCCTCTCAGATCGCCTCCAGTCTCCTTCTCTCTCCATTATTTCTCCTACCATTTTCTCTCTCTCTTCTTCTTCTCTCAGATCGCCTCCAATCTCTTTCTCTCTCCATTATTTCTCCTGCCATTTTCTCTGTCCCTCTTCGTCTTCTCTCAAATCGCCCTTCCCAGCTGCCCCAACTGATAATGAACTAATCACCTAGAAATCTAAGATCAGAAATCAAATATGGCATTGAGCTAACCATTCGCGGCGTCAATCTGTGGCGATCGTGGATTTGTGATGGAGTTCGTTGCAGCGTTGCCAACCGATCTGTGGTGTTGGTGTGCAGCAGCGACTGTAGTGTTGGTGTTGGTGTGCGGTAGCGACTGTGGTGGTGTTGACTTGGCATCTGTCGTCCATTATCTGTTTATAAATGATTCCAAATGATTTTTCCCCCTGATATGTAGCTTGGCAGGTCCAAGTGGAATGGAAATGTGGGGAGCACCGAGGTAGATCTCGTCACCGATAGATCTGCAAATCTGTGGAGGTGTGTGGTTTTGGCCAGAGTTTTGTTGGTTGCGATATGGGGAAAGTTTGGTCACGATCTAGTCGCTATCCAGTGGTGGATGTGGTTTTGCGATGCTCTGCGGTTCTGGTGGATTGCCTGTGGTTATGGCGGTTTAGTTGGTGGCAGTTTAGACTGTTTAGTTGATTTTGTGACAAATAATTTAACTCGTGACCTGATTATTGGGATTCACAGTTGGTGGTTATGGTTGTCATGGCGGTTTGGTTGACTTGTGACTAATAATTGGATATATGACCTGAAAATTATGACCGTGACTCCCAATTGATGAAGTTGAAATTGAAACATTAATCGTGTCCAACTAATCAAATAATGTGCAATGAGTAAATAAGTTGTGACCAATAAAATTTTTGAATCTGTGACCGATGAATAATCTGTGGCCTATAAAATTTTGAATTCGTGACAAAAAATATTTTGTAATCTATAAAATTTTCGATTTGTGATCAAGAAATAAGTTGCAACCAATAATTTGATAAGTTGTGACTAAAAATTAATCTGTGACTAATTAAATAGCTAATTGTGACCAAAAAAATTGTGACCTTGAAAATGGTGATGA